TTATACTTTAGTTTTTTATGTAGTTTATACTTTAGTTTTCTACGTGGTTGTTGAGTAACTGCAGCTACATATCATTAACATTCCTTTCCTTTGTTACTGCTAATCCCTGCACCCCCCTTGGTTGCTGCTGATCCTGCATAATGCATGGGCATAATATGACTTTGACACCCCCCCGCCCAACGCCTACGCATTTTCCATGAATATGCTAAATCCCTCTTCACATGCACATTCTTTTTGTTAAGGCGCTCTTCAACCCCCAATGCAGCTTATATATAAGCTCCTAGTTTGGTAGTGTCTCATTCTTCACCTGAAGACGGCTGCTTGCGTTGTAGCCGAAACGTCGTGAGAATTGTTTTATTATGTTTTATTTTTATTATTTTATTACTTCCCTTCTACGTGACTTTACCGAAAGAAACAAGAAGACAGCCTCCCATTGTATCTATACCAGATGAAAATTCCTCCTGTATAGCTATTGAAGGCTTCACGAACTACGTGGCCGAAATAGATGTTAAATAATGTGGGAGCCAGAGGACATCCTTGTCGCACCTCAAGGTGTACAGGGAATGGTTCCGATTCCCAGCTACGTAGTTTTACCCGAGCCCGCTCACCATCATGAAGGTCCTTAATGATCGTGAGCAGAGGGTCAGGGACTCCGAAAGCATGAAGAACTACCCAGAGCCCAGGCCTACTGATGGTATCATAGGCGTTGACCAGGTCAATAAAGCAGAGATGTAGGTCTTGTTGGAATTCCCTAGACCTCTGCTGCAGCAGACGGACAGAAAATATGGCATCTGCGCAGGACCGCCCTTTCCTGAAACTGCATTGGGGCTCCGCAAGCCTCTCCTCAGCATGCCTAGCAAGGCGATGTTGAATAATCCTTGCCAGGACTTTTCCCAGCATACTGAGGAGTAAGATGCCCCTGTAGTTATTACAGTCTGTGCGGTCCCCCTTCTTAAAGAGGGGGACCACCAGGGCATCCTTCCAGTCTTCTGGAACCCGTCCAGTGGTCCAGACTGTTGTTATCATGTAATGTAGGGCAGTCTGTGCATAAATGCCACCCTCCCTCAGCATTTTGCTTGGGAGATCATATCTGCCCGGTGCCTTTCCTGGTCTCAGACTCTGGATCGCCTTCAGTACTTCCTCAAAAGATGGCACCTCAGCCAGCCACTGACGGGATGACTTCTTCCAATATTTGAGGCACCGCAGCCTCGGCAGGGTCATGCCCACTTTGTCCCACGTTGTTATCCAGGCTGAGGTATGTCCCCTCCCCCAGGACCTTACAGAAATGCTCAGCAAATCAGCAAACCTGTTCCTGGGGGTCGGTGATTGGATCACCATTCTTTCCCCTAATGATGGTAATCGGTGTGACGCTGCAGGTTACTTTTTTGATGGAATTAAAGTGCGATTGAGACAGACTCCATCTCCTCAGAAACCCGCGACCACCACCCATCCTTGCAGCACCTCATGGCTCTCCAAACCTCTGACCGAAGGCTGCGGTAAGCCTCCTCATTCTCCGATGTGGGATGCTGTAGCCGATGCGAGTGAGCCTGTCGCTTTTTCTCAGCCAGCTTGAACACCTCATCTGTCAGCCAGGGTCTCTGGGGAAGTCTGGACCGTGTACCCAAAGCAGCCATTGCAGCTGCATGAGCCACAGTCCTAAACCTCGCCCATTTCCCCTCGACACCAGGAGGAGTGGGGGACGATGCCAACCCCATCCGCAAGCGATTATAAAATTCTCACTTGCAACTTTCATCAGCTAGTGGAAGAATGGCAGGCGCATCTTACAGATGACAAGTCGATGGTCAGTGGGAAGATCAGCTCCACGGTAGGTCCTGGTGTCAAGGACATGGGCCAGCATCCGCTGTTCCATCACTATGTATTCCAGCAGATGTTCTTGCTTGGACCCGGCATGCATCCATGATGTTGTGTGGATGCGCCATGCCGGAACAGCGTGTTGGTAATTACAAGCCCATGGGCTGCACACAAATCTAGCAGCCTCCTGCCATTGTTATTGAGCTGGACCATGCCTTCCAATCACTCCAGACCAGGTGCCAGCATCATGACCAACTCGGGCATTGAAGTCACCCAACAAGATGACTCTATCCCGAGGGGCGACTTTAGCTAGCACCTGTGACAGGAGGTCATGGAAGGCATCTGAATCATCAGCCTTGCCTGCATCCTTCCACGGATATTCGTCTTCAGTGGGGGCATAAGTAACCACGACCAGCACTCCTCGCCTCTGGTTGATGGGAAGGCACACCCAAAGTAGCCTGGGGCTTACAGCTTCCCACATATCATCGCCACGCTCCCACACCCCCTTCATTCTTTTGTTCAGAAGAAGAGCCACTCCCTGTTGTTTGGCAGTCTCCTACCCCGAGAAGAGGACTGTCCACCCCTTATGGTGGCAAGAGCCAGAGCCGGTCCACCGGACCTCCTGAATGCCACAGAGATCCAGGTGGTACCAGTCCAGCTCCTAACAGAGGAGTGGCAGCCTCTCAACATTCCACCTGGCCACACGTAGTGGTTTTTTGTTGTTTCTGGAGGAGCCCTGAGGGTAAGGATTCAGTCTCCTGGCTCATAGACGCCTGTCCCACCAGGGCTTCCGGCACAAGCTTATTTATTAAATGTTTCCGTCATGGTTTAGTGGTAATTAATTGAAGGTGGACGGGTTACCAGTCCCTCGCACCCATCCAGAGCCCCCTTTTGGCCGTTGTGGTGGTCACAAAAGCCATGAGGGGAAAGGCCAATCAGAATTGGCCCTCCCCCCAAAGCACTACCCATGACAGTGTTTCCTGTCCGACACCACGAGGAGGTAGGGGGTTGTTTTTCCAGTAATAATATACTGTTTGGTTCTTTCGGTAAAGTCACGTATAAAGATAAAATAATAAATTAAATAATAGCATACGACGTTTCGATTGCAACACAAGCAATCATCATCAGGTATAAATGAAATAGCAACAAAAACTAACCAGAAAACTATAGACAGACATATAAGCAGACAGATATCACAGCGATACATAAAGAGAGAACACACATAGGCACGGATGGTTGTCCAGTATCAATGTGCTGGTCCGTTGGTGACAGAGCATGGTTACATTGCCCGCAGTTTCCAGCTGGTACGTCCCCTAAGCTGCATAAGCCCTGGCAAGGACCCGTGGAAGTGGTCGAGGTTAAACGGCCACAGTGTGAGCGTACACGGGTGGGCCGTCGCCGTTGGTTTGTCCATCCATCTTGGTTGAAGCCGTTTGTTCCTCCGCGGATCGCCTCTCCATCTCCAAAAATTGGTCTGCCGGTGTTTGGTGTCTTCGACGAGCCGGGGATGGTGTGTTCGGAGGACGTACATCAGAAAGATTGTGTCGTGCCGCCCACAGCATCCGAGCCTGTGACCGTGGACGGCCGTCGAAGACTCGCCGGGATCGAGGAGATGCCTGCTGCCGCCAAGCCTGCAGCACCTGCGCCTCCTGTTTTGCAGTCCGCGTCTCCGGCTGTTCCGGTGGTGTGCACACCGCCCGAGTAGGAGCGCAAGACCGTCCTCGTCGACGGACTGGCATCGCGAACTCGGTCCAAATGCTTGCGATTCCGTTGATTCCTTGTTCTGAGTGTTGCTCCGGAATGGCGGAGAGGTTCTGGTTGTTGTTCAGTTCTGTTATTTTTCCTCTCTTGTTCCCCTTCGTAATTTTCCCTACCCTCCTTGTTCCCTTATGTTGGGTGTTGATTGTTCCTGCGGATTGTCCCGCCCTTTAAGGAAGATAACTCGAGTCGTGCTTTTATAGCTCTTAATTGTCGTGCTTATCCTGCACATGGGTGCACTTACCTGTTAATTGAGTATTAGCCGGGAAGGCTACATTTTTTATTACAGGGGGGGGGGGGGTGATGTAATGACATGATGACCCCTGCTGGTTGGACATGGGAAGCACGGATACAGGCACCGCTAGAACAACATTCACTCCGAAAGAGAGAGGAATCTGGGCCAAAGGTAATGGGCGGGGCTGGCTGGAATGCTCCAGGAACCCGCGCAAAGGTTCCTTGATAGGACGTGGCCAGAGGCGGAGCCTAGCCGTGCCTGCAGGAGGAGGACTCGGGGTTCGTGAGTGGACCGTGGAACCACGCCGTGTGATCGATTGTGTGTGGAGCCAGTAGAGTGCTAACATCTAGGTTGTATATCATGAGAAGAAAGGTTGGCTTGCGCTGTGCCATGTGTGAATAAAGAAGAAGTGCCCTCTACATGACGAGTCGCGGAAGTCACTCATTACAATAGTATTTATACTAATAGTAGGTTCTGTTCCATGTTACAATCCACCATCCCATCTCCACTACCAGTAGTCATAGTCCTAGTAGTAATAGTACTCATACTAGTAGTCATAGTCCTAGTAGTAATAGTTCTCATACTAGTAGTCATAGTCCTAGTAGTAATAGTTCTCATACTAGTAGTCATAGTCCTAGTAGTAATAGTACTCATACTAGTAGTCATAGTCCTAGTAGTAATAGTTCTCATACTAGTAGTCATAGTCCTAGTAGTAATAGTTCTCATACTAGTAGTCATAGTCCTAGTAGTAATAGTTCTCATACTAGTAGTCATAGTCCTAGTCGTAATAGTACTCATACTAGTAGTCCTAGTCGTAATAGTACTCATACTAGTAGTCCTAGTAGTAATAGTACTCATACTAGTACGAGGTTCCGTTCCATGTTACGATCAATCATCCCATCTCTAATTATAGTAGTGATAATCCTAGTAGTAATAGTACTCATACTAGTAGTTATATTAATAGTAGTAATAGTACTCATACTAGTAGTTATATTAATAGTAGTAATAGTACTCATACTAGGAAGTGTCATAGGTTATGCACCAGGTCGGAGAGAGAATGGCTGGGGAGGTGGGGGGGAGTGGCTGGGGAGGTGGGGGGGAGTGGCTGGGGAGGTGGGGGGGAGTGGCTGGGGAGGTGGGGGGGAGTGGCTGGGGAGGGGGCGTGGTCTATAAGGGGGAGGAGTCGGTACGACCCCTGACCCCGCCAGTCGCTCAGCCGCCTCCTCCCCGCAGCCTCGGCCTCAATCGCGAGCAGCCCCTCACCACCGACTCCTCACCACCACCACCACCAACTACTCACCACCGCCTACTCACCACCTACTGACCATCGCTTCCTCACCACCGCCTACTCACCACCGCCTACTCACCACCACCGCCTAATCACCACCGCTTCCTCACCACCACCTACTCACTACCGCTTCCTCACCACCACCGCCTACTCACCACCACCGCCTACTCACCACCACCACCTACTCACCACCACCGCCTACTCACCACCACCGCCTACTCACCACCACCGCCTACTCACCACCACTTCCTCACCACCACTTCCTCACCACCACCGCCTACTCACCACCACCGCCTAATCACCACCGCTTCCTCACCACCACCTACTCACTACTGCTTCCTCACCACCACTTCCTCACCACCACCGCCTACTCACCACCACCGCCTACTCACCACCACCACCTACTCACCACCACCACCTACTCACCACCACCACCTACTCACCACCGCTTCCTCACCACCGCCGCATACTCCACATCGCCTCCCCACCACCGCCTTCTCACCAACTCACCACCACCACATCATCATCAAGGCCTCCTCACCGCCTACTCACAACCAGCTCCTCACCACCGCCTCTTCTTCCTCACCACCAGCACCGCCTCCTCACCACCGCTGCGACTGCACCGTTCTCTTCTCGCCCCCTGCTTCAGCTCAGGTTCATAGTGTCTGTGTCATAGTGTCTTAGTGTCACAGTGTCTGTGTCACAGTGTCTGTCTGTGTCACAGTGTCAGTGTCACAGTGTCTGTGTGACAGTGCCACAGTGTCTGTATCACAGTGTCTGTATCACAGTGTCTGTGTCACAGTGTCTGTCTGTGTCACAGTGTCTGTGTCACAGTGTCTGTGTCACAGTGTCTGTGTGACAGTGCCACAGTGTCTGTATCACAGTGTCTGTATCACAGTGTCTGTCTGTGTCACAGTGTCTGTGTCACGGTGTCTTAGTGTCACAGTGTGTGTCACAGTGTCTGTATCACAGTGTCTGTATCACAGTGTCTGTCTGTGTCACAGTGTCTGTGTCACGGTGTCTTAGTGTCACAGTGTGTGTCACAGTGTCTGTATCACAGTGTCTGTGTCACAGTGTCTGTGTGACAGTGTCACAATGTCTTAGTGTCACAGTGTCTGTGTCACAGTGTCTGTCTGTGTCACAGTGTCTGTGTCACAGTGTCTGTCTGTGTCACAGTGTCTGTGTCACAGTGTCTGTCTGTGTCACAGTGTCTGTGTCACAGTGTCTGTGTCACAGTGTCTGTGTGACAGTGCCACAGTGTCTGTATCACAGTGTCTGTATCACAGTGTCTGTCTGTGTCACAGTGTCTGTGTCACGGTGTCTTAGTGTCACAGTGTGTGTCACAGTGTCTGTATCACAGTGTCTGTATCCCAGTGTCTGTCTGTGTCACAGTGTCTGTGTCACGGTGTCTTAGTGTCACAGTGTGTGTCACAGTGTCTGTATCACAGTGTCTGTGTCACAGTGTCTGTGTGACAGTGTCACAATGTCTTAGTGTCACAGTGTCTGTGTCACAGTGTCTGTGTCACAGTGTCTGTGTCTTAGTGTCACTGTGTCTGTGTCACAGTGTCTGTGTCACAGAGCGGTAGTGTAGCGGTTAGCGCGCTGCGCTATGAACCTGGCGACCCGGGTTCGATTCCCGCTCACGGCAAACACCAGTGACGATTATCTGAACCGGTTCCGGGCCTCCCCTAGGTCGACTCAGCTTGAAATGAGTACCTGGTGCGGTGTGTAAACATCGCCACTAGGGAGACAAAGGCGGTCGGGCGTGGTGCTGGCCACCCACCCCCTCGTGTGCCGTGCCGGCCTTCATAGGTGCTCGCTAACAGCACTTGCCCCTACAGTCTGTTAAGGCTATACGGGGGATCTTTTGTGTCACAGTGTCTGTATCACAGTGTCTGTGTCACAGTGTCTGTCAGTGTCACAGTGTCTTAGTGTCAGAGTGTCTGTGTCACAGTGTCTGTGTCACAGTGTCAGTGTCTTAGTGTCACAGTGTCTGTGTCACAGTGTCTGTGTCACAGTGTCTGTCAGTGTCACAGTGTCTTAGTGTCAGAGTGTCTGTGTCACAGTGTCAGTGTCTTAGTGTCACTGTGTCTGTGTCACAGTGTCTGTATCACAGTGTCTGTATCACAGTGTCTGTCTGTGTCACAGTGTCAGTGTCACAGTGTCACAGTGTCTTAGTGTCACAGTGTCTGTGTAACAGTGTCTGTGTCACAGTGTCTTAGTGTCATAGTGTCTGTGTCACAGTGTCTGTCTGTGTCAGTGTCAGTGTCACAGTGTCTTAGTGTCACAGTGTCTGTGTCACAGTGTCTGTCTGTGTCACAGTGTCACAGTGTCTTAGTGTCACAGTGTCTGTGTCACAGTGTCTTAGTGTCACAGTCTCTTAGTGTCACTGTGTCTGTGTCACAGTGTCTGTGTCACAGTGTCTGTCTGTGTCAGTGTCACAGTGTCTTAGTGTCACAGTGTCAGTGTCTGTGTCACAGTGTCTGTGTCAGGTTCAAGCAGGGAGTGGCTTTTCTTCCAAACAAAGAATGAAGTGGTCATGGGAGGGTGGCGTGGTGAGGTGTGGGAAGCTGTAATCCCCAGGCTACTGTGGGCTCACCTCCATCAATGGGAGGCGAGGAGTGGTTGTGGTGGTTGCTTATACCCATCGAAGATGAACGTCAGTGGAGTGGATATATACAAGGTCGATGACCTGTCACAGGTGCTAGCTAAAGTTGCCCCTTGGGATAGTCATCCTGTTGGGTGACTTCAATGCCCAAGTTGGTCATGATGCTGGCACCCTGGGCTGGAGTGGTTGGAAGGAATGGGCCAGATCAGCTCAATAACAACGGTAGGGGGCTGCTAGATTTCTATGCAACCCATGGGCTTGTAACTATCAACATGCTGTTCTGGCATAGATGCATGCACACAACATCATGGATGCATGCCTGGTCCAAACAACAACAACATCTGCTGGACTATATAGTGATGAAACAGTGAATGCGGGCCATGTCCCTGACTTAAGGACCTACTGTGGAACTGATTTGCCCACTGACCATTGGCTTGTCATATGTAAGATGCGCCTGCCATTCTTCTATTCCGGTGGTGGGTGTCCATCTGGGACCCCATTCAAACCCACAGTGGCCTAGTCTCAGGAAGTTAATGAGAGTTGCAAGCGAGAATTTTATCATCGCATGCAGCTGGGTTTGCCGAGGGATATGTGGCTCATGCAGCTGCAATGGCTGCATTGGGTACAGGCCCAAACCTGCTCAGAGACCCTGGCTAACAGGGGAGGTGTTCCAGGTGGCTGAGAAAAATCGACAGGCCAATTCCCACTATCTACAGCATCCCACGTTGCAGAATGAGGAGGCTTGCCGCAGCTTTACCTCGGAGGTTTAGAGAGTGGTTGCTGAGGCGATGGAGTCTGCCTCAGTCGCTCGTGCTCACACATAACACTTTAATTCCATTTAAAAATCTAAAAAGTAACTTGCAGCATCACACCTATCACCCTCCTGAGGGGAAAGAAAGGTGATTTAATCTCTGACCCCCAGGAACAGATTTGCAGATTTTCTGAGCATTTCTGTGAGCTCTTGGGGGAAGGGAAATCCCTCAGCCCAGAAAACATCATGGGCCAAAGTGGGGATGACCCTACTGAGGCTGTGGTGCCCCAAATATTGGAAGAAATAGTCGTCACCCCCTGTAAGTGACTGGCTGAAGTGCCATCTGTTGAGGAAGTATGAAAAGCAATCCAGAGTCTGAGACCCGGAAAATCGCCGGCAGAGATGATCTCCCAAGCGAACTGCTGAGGGTGATGTTTGTGTGCAGACTGTCCTATATGACATCATGATAACAGTCTGGACTACTGGACAGGTTCTGCAGGTTTAGAAGAATGCCAGACTGTAACAACTACAGTGGCATATCCCTTAGTGTGCTGGAAAAGGTCCTGGCACGGATTATTCAGCATCACCTTGCCAGGCATGCTGAGGAGAGGCTTGCGGAACCCCAATGTGGTTTTAGGCCAGGGTGGTCCTGCACAGATGCCATATTTTCTGTTCATCAACTACAGTCGTAGGGAATTCCAACAGGATCTACATTTCTGCTTTATTGACCTGGTCAAGGCCCATGATACCATCGATAGGTCTGGGCTCCCTGACTCTGCTCACAATGATGAAGGACCTTCATGATGGTCGGCAGGCCCGGGTAAAGCTACGTGGCCGGGAGTCGGAGCCATTCCCTTGGAGTGTGACAGGGATGTTCTCTGGCACCTACGTTATAGAAACAAATTTCGACCACGTAGTTAGAGAAGCATTCCATGGCTCTACTGGAGGAAGTTCGATCTGGTACAGATACAATAGGATGCTGATCGATGCTCAGGTGCGGTAGAGGGATGGCTCCCTATTGGTCAGCCATGCTATGTTGTTGATGAGCTGGTGATTGCTGCTCACTCTAAATAGGAGTTGGAGGTGCTGCTGCTGAACCTGGAGCATGCTATTAATAGGTAGGGCCTAACCATCAGCCCCACCAAAGCTAAACACCTGCCTTGGCATTTTGTGTCATCAAACACTCTATTCCCTTAAATCCCCATTGGTGGGGTAGTTGTGGAGAGTGGAGAAGTTTCCATAAATGGGCAGTGTGCTTATGACCAGCTTTGGTTTGACAGCAGAGATCTCACTCCAAATCAGTCGCGTGGCATCCTTTCATCGCCTGCGTAACGCTGTGTGGAAGCTACCTGGTCTTTCGCTCCACACAAAGCTCGGGTCTTCTCCGCCACAAACGTGGACCCCAATGGAACGTCTTCGCCGGTCCATTCTGGGTTTAACCAGGCTGGATTGTGTGAGGAGCTTCGTCGGCCAGTAATCTCAGTCAACCCTTGGCACCTGGATCTGTGCCGTGACCTCCTGCCAGCAGCCATTCAACATTTCACATAGCCATAAAGTGCACATAGCCTGGCACAAGCGCCGTCGTGATTTCACCACCACTTAGTGGCGAATGGTGGTTGTTGGTGTCAGGTTCATAGTGATTTTGTCAGGTTTATAATAGCTGTGTTTGTTTCATAGTCATCTTGTCATGTTCGTAATGGATGTCTGGTTTGTAGTGATCATTTCAGTTCATAATGGCTATGTCTGTTCCATTGTGAACATGTCATGTTCATAATGGATATGGAGATTAAAAAAGTGAAGTATTATTTTTTAAGTCATTTGTCTAACTTTCCTATTCTTTACACTCGTCTGTCGTGTTGTTGTTATGTTCTGACCCCCCCCCCCCCCCCCCGTGTCCGCCCTTGCTGGACATCTGTAAAAAAATAAAGATCTTCATAGCTCATCGGATTCCTCCTCCAGCACAAACATATTCCAACTGTTATTCATAGGATGTCGTGTTGTGCCACGGCGATGCCGCTGGAGGTGACCGGCGACAGCAGCAGCTTCCCGGCGTGGCTGGAGACGCAGGGCGTGAGCGCCGAGGTGGCCCGCGCCCTCGACTCGGAGCTGGGCATCCGCGACTACGGCCTCCTGCGCGCCTGCGTGGACGACGGGAGCGTGCGAGCGGAGCTGCTGGCCGCCGCTCGCCACCGCCTGCCCTTCGGGTTCTACGCGGCGCTGAGGCGCGCCGTGAAGGCCCTGCAACAGCCCGACGATGAAGACGGAGCAGGAGGAGGAGTGGAAGGAGGAGCGGAACGAGGGGGAGCAGGAATCGCGGGAGGAGGAGCGGGAGGAGAAAGAGTGGAAGGAGGAGTGGAAGGAGACGCCGCAGGGGCGACGCTGCTGGGAGGCCTCGTGGAGGCGCTCCTCGCGCTCTTTGGCGGCCTCAGCCGCGAGCTGCTACTCTCCGCGGAGCGCCTGGGGGCGCTCACCGCTCACCGCCTCTGCCCCATAGTGTCCGGAGACGGCCAGGAGGGAGGGGACGGCGGAGGTCGCGGAGAGTGGGGCGAGGCCAACGGTAAAGAAACGGACAGACGATCGCGCTGTGGCATTCTCTCATGGAGTGACACAACACTCCACGTTCAAAGGAGATGTTAACTACCTCTCCTGGTATGCAGGAGGTTGTGGGTTCGATCCCTGACCCTGACACCTCTATATTTGGAGTCTGCGTCTCTTTCTCTCTCCGTGGTCACGTGAATTTCCATCCTCTGGTTTTTCTCCTCCACGTTCAGAATCGACATCGCGCGTTTAGAGTATTTGGCGGTTATAAATCTCCACGTGAGCTATCATGACGTGTGGCAACTCAGTGGGGCCTTACCTGTTAAGATAAAAATTTATTTTGATTTAACGATTTCGTGACTGCACTTATTCATATTCTTTGGGTTTTTCGGTAAAGTCACGTAGATAGGTTCAAAGAAAATAACAAAAAACTACGACGTTTCGATCGCAACACAAGCGTTCGTCATCAGGAAGAGGGGGTTAGCTTCTAAAGGTAAACTGTTTATAAATGTAAGTGGTGGGCAGCGACCAATCATAGGGCTGCCTATGATTGGTGGGAAAACCCACCACCGTCGCGGTCGCTGCCCACCACCTACATTAACATTGGCTGCTGATATTTGGGCTACGCCCATCTCAAACCTTTATAAACAGTTTGCCTTTAGAAGCTAACCCCCTTTTTCTGATGACGAACGCTTGTGTTGCGATCGAAACGTCGTAGTTTTTTGTTATTTTTTGTTATTTTCTTTGAACCTATCTACGTCACTTTACCGAAAGACCCAAAGGATAAGATAAAAAATAGTTTAGTTTATAATTCGATCAACACACAAACACACGTACGTGAACACAGACACACACACAAACACGCGAACACACAAACATATGCTTCCCCCACACCTCCCATTAGCACGGTTGGCGATGTACGCTGTGAAAGAATTTCAACATACACTACATTACTATACAATACACTATTCACTACACTATATACTACACTCCACTCCGCCACTGTGTTTAGTTTGTTGTCCTCCTGCACGTCCGATTAGCACGGTTGGCTACGTACGGTGCGAAAGAAATTCAACGTACACGTCTTGTGGGGCATCCTGCACACAATCGCCACTCTTCCGTCAGCATTTCGCTTGGCACGTCACCTGATCTCATGCTCTGGACCCACTCTTCATGGCTGCCACAGCAGCCAGCCACTCACAGTGCTCGGCTGCTTCCCCCGATATTTGAGGCACAACAGTCCCGGCAGGGTCAATATTTCGTGAGATCTGCCAACCCCTTTCCTTTTAAAGTGCTGAATTAAAGGCATGGGTCACCACTACCCCGCTTTAGCTCAATCCACAAAGAGAAAAGGCAAGTGCTGTTAACGAGTAGCAGCTATCAAGCCCGGCAAGGCACACGAGAAGGTGGGTGGCCAGCACCACGCCCGGCCACCTTTGTCTCCCCACTGGCGATGTTTACTACACACTGGACCAGGTACTTATTTGAGGCTGAGTCGACCTACGGGAGGCCAGTACTGGTTGAGATAATATCCAGGGTCGTAGCGCAGTGCACTATCTGCTACACTACCACTCCAAAGTGTGTGTACATTGTCGATTTAAGTATGCAGAGAATATGCAGTACCTATGATTGGTTGGGTTATTCACAGGTAATGAAAATACTGTGTGTACATTATGTTAATTTATGACTACATTATGTTGATCTCAGAGTATTCGGAGAAGTATGTAGAACCTATTATTATTATTGGCTGCTACTCAACCCCTTCCTCATACGTGAACCTTGGCGAATTCTCCCTTGCACTTGCGTCACGCATCTGGCCACGGAGAGAGCGCCGAGTTGATTCCGTGCGTCTGGGCTTGTTGTGTGTGTTTGCGTGCGTGCGTGTGCAGAGGAGGAGGCGGTGGGGGATGATGCCCCAACGCACGACCCCCGGTGGGACACGATGGCGGTTAAGACGGAGACGTGCGGAGGTATTTTATCTTTCTTCAGGTCGCCCGCCTCGCCCACGTCGCCACGTTACCACATTTACCACAGTCGTTAACAAACTGCAGCCGAACGCGATAAGTCCGCGGCGACTACATGACCGAGCAGTTCCAAGGAGGTTCGAGTACGTACGCGGATAACAGAGCTTTAGGTGGATAACATTTGCGAGTATTGGCGGTACACTGGTGATAAATAACACACCGTGTTCGTATAAAACGGTGCTAAAATCTAAATTTCAAGTGACATTCGTTTTCCGACTGCTTCGACATTACGAGAATTCTGGTTTAGACACCACCACCCACCATCAACCACCACCAACCACCAACCACCACCCATCAACCACCCATCAACCACCATCAACCACCACCCATCGACCACCACCCATCAACCACCACCCATCAACCACCATGAACCACCACTCATAAACCACCACCCACCACCACACCCGCAATATTTTCTGACTGGGAGTTGCAAATCGCCAAAACGTTAATTTGTTCAAAGTGGCACACGCGATGGGAAAAATGTTACGTTGATGCACACGCAGTATCAGACCAGGGTGGGTGGAGTGAGTTTGAACCTCCGATTTAGCATGGTTGGCTACATAAGTTCAACATGCTTACGTACTACACTATACACTACACTACTATACACAACACGACACACTACACTCCTATACACTGCGCTAGTATACACTACACTGCCTTACACTACACTATACACCACTACTATAGCACTACACTACTATACACTACACTACTATGCACTACACTACTGTACACTACTATACACTACACTACTATAGCACTACACTACTATACACTACACTACTATACACTGCACTGCTATACACTACACTGCTATACACAAAACTGCTATACATTACACTGCCATACACTACATTGCTATACACTACACTATAAACTACACTGCCATACACTACACTGCTAGACACTACACTATACACTACAATACGATGCACGACACTACTATACACCACACCACTATACACCACACCACTATACACTACACTGCTATACACTACACCGCTCTACTCTACATTACTATACACTACACTACACCACTCCTCCTCCGAGGAGAGGAGAGGGAGGAGGAGGGAGTGGTTGGTGTGAGTTGCGATGCAGGGGGGAGTGGATGAGTTGGGTCTCCCCCCCACCCGTCCTCCTCCAGACACCGGCTCCGGAACGGCAGACGCCTCTTACTCACCTGAATGGCCACTCGTCAAAGTGGAGCAGAAGTGCCGAGGTGAGACGTCAGGTGAAGGAAGAACCACGTTCCTCCTTCACGCGCATTCATCCTTCACGCGCGTGTCGCCTTCACGCGCGTTCCTTTTGGCATCGTTCCCTGGTCTGCTAACACCGCTGGTAAGACACGTGGCCATAAAGAAGGCTGCTGTCTCTGTTGTAGGCCAATCAGTTTCAAAGACAATCAGTACCGGATTATCTTAGTAGCAAAAGTAGCTGCAAATGCTACAGGCCCCGTACTTACAAGGGCCCCACGCTAAATGCTTTCAAGCTATCAATTCCGGTTCAGTGATTCTGCACTTACTGTATTACTGTATTACTAGACAGCTTTCAACTTTTATGAACGACCGGATGTTTAAGGTTTGCGATTTGTCGTATTATCTGGCTGTATAGAAAATGAAAAAATACAATTACTTTACTGTCCAAGTTAAAAAGTATGTGTTTTAAGATTTTATTTATTTCTTTATTTAGGGCCCCTTTATAACATGTAGTGGTGTAACGCACGCAGGGTTTGCAAACAGTAGTTGCATTAATGTATGGGGTTGCAGACAGTGAGGTCAGTTCAAGATAAGAAAGTGCAGGCTGGGTGACAGCAGACAGAGAAGCCAGCAATTAGGGAAAGAGGCAGTGATTGGCTTGCTCAATTGCAAACGCGGAGTAGGCGCCACGGAGGCGAGAAATAGTGGCGATAAGGGGGAGAACACGTGTATGAGGCGTGGGGAGGACGCCGGCTTAATGAGGGCCATCTGGGGGCACTTAATGAGGAGGGGGGTATAAGAGGAATGTGTGAGGCAGTTGGGTGAGTTGGTTGAAGATGAAGCAGTGAAGAGATTCGAGAGAAGTCCGGGACCTCGCCCTCCACACCTCGCCCTCCGCAGCGGTGTTGGCTGAACCCTCGCTGGGGGAACGGTCGAGGTTGGAGGTGCGGGTGTAGTAACAGGCTAGCAGTGGAGAGGCTAGCGGAGTCTGAGTGTGATAAGCCAGCAGAGAGAGAGTCTGTGACAGGCTAGGAGAGCGGGAAGTAACAGGCTAGCAGTGGAAGAGAGACTAAGCTCGAAGTAGCAGGCTAGCACTGGAAGAGTTCGTGACAGGAGCGCGTGGTGTTGAACAAGAGGAGCATCCGTGTGGGATGCTATGAATAACGTGACTCAGGAGAAAAGATGAAAGTGTCGGCGTGAATAAACACCACACTATACATATGCTACAGGCCCCGCACTAGCTTAATCTGGCACTGAAGACAATGCTTGTAATATTATCATCAGAGCGCATTTGTTTGCATGTTTTGCCACAAGTACTGTGTGGTGAATGCAGACTTGATGTTTTTGCGACGCTCACAACACCGATTGGAGAGCCGGGCGGCTAAAACGCAGCGAGCTGGCACAGTAGGGGCCTGGCACAGCAGTCAACCCATGCCACCTGCTGGGCCTGTTCCATGACCTCCTGCACCTAGCCTGGCACAGCAGTCAACCCATGGCACCTCGTTCTGTCCCGTGACCTCCTCCTGCACCCTAGCCTCGCTAAAATGCAGCAAGTTGGCACAGTAAGGGGCACAGGTGGTGTATCTGCCAGTCATCTCAGTCAGCCAACTCATGGCACCTGCTGTGTCTCTCCCGTGACCTTCTGTAAGCGAGCCTTCGACACTGCACGTGGTCCCATAGTGCAACTGGCCTGGCACAGGCGCCGTAGTAACGTCACCGTCGCTTAGTGGCAAATGGCGGGTATTGTTATTGTATGAGAAGTCTTTTCAGGCTATATGGGGGATTTTTCCGTGTGTGTGTATGTATGAGCTAGTCCTGGGCCTCCCCTAGATCGACTCGGCCTAAAATGAGTACCTGGCGCGGTGTGTAAACATCGCCACTGGGGAATCAAAGGCGGTCTGGCGTGGTGCTGGCCACCTACCCCCTTGTGTACTGTGCCGGCCTTCATAGGTGCTCACTAACACCATTTTCCCCAACAGTCTGTGTTAAGGCTACACGGGGGATCTTTGCGTGTATGTGTGTACGAGACACCTTTTGATCTTTGTGTGTATGTATGTGTATGTTAGTGTCACGCTCCCACGCCCCCTTCATTCTTTTGTTCAGAAGAAGAGCCACTCCCTGTTGTTTGGTAGTCTCCTGCCCCGAGTAGAGGACTGTCCACCCGTCATGGTGGCAGGAGCCAGAGCCGGTCCACCGGACCTCCTGAATACAAATGTGTGGTGGTGAGGTGTGGGAAGCTGTAAGCCCCAGGCTACTTTGGGCTCGCCTTCCCATCAACTGGAGGCGAGGAGTGTTGGTCGTGGTTACTTATGCCCCCACCGAAGACGAACATCCGTGGAGGGATGCAGGCAACGCTGATGAGTCAGATGCCTTCTATGACCTCCTGTCACAGGTGCTGGCTAAAGTGGCCTCTCGGGATAGTCATCCTGTTGGGTGACTTCAATGCCCGAGTTGGTCATGATGCTGGCACCTGGTCTGGAGTGATTTGGAAGGCATGGGCCAGATCAGCTCAATAACAACGGTAGGAGGCTGCTAGATTTTTGTGGGCTGTGGGTTGTTCTTCGTGCTTTTGGAGTCTCTGACCCTCTGCTCACGATCATTAAGGACTTTCATGATGGTGAGCGGGCCCGGGTAAAACTAGGTGGCCAGGAGTTGGAGCCATTCCCTGTTCACCTTGGGGTGCGACAGGGATGTCCTCTGGCTCCCACATTATTTAACATATTATTCGACCACGTAGTTCGTAACGCTGTGTGGAAGCTACCTGGTCTGTCGCTCCGCACAAAGCTTCAGGTCTTCTTGGCCACGGTCATTCCCTCCCTTTACGCTTGCGAAACGTGGACCCCCCTGGGTTTAACCAGGCTGGATTGTGTGAGGAGCTCACAAATCCTTGAAAGATCTGGGCAAAGTCCCATCGGTGAGCTCCACCGGCAGGCAAGGCTGCGTTGGCTGGGTCATGTAGCCCGCATGCCCAGTCACCGCATGTCTAAACAGCTTTTGTTCAGCAGAATAGAGGGGGCTAAACGAACGTGGCACGGGCTCGAGAATATATGGATGTGGAGCTGAGTGGACTTGCCAATGACTGATACCAGCGGTGTCAAGATTGGCCTCTGTGGAGGAGGCTCGTGAAAGACGCCTCTGGGCCGTTGGAGGCAGTCGCCCTCCAACAACAACGGAGGGCGGAGGAGCGGCGCTCACAACAACGAGCGGAGCGCCGGGTGGCTAAAGCACAGAAAGTCGGCATAGTAGGGGGCACAGGTGGTGCATCAGTCAGTCATCTCAGTCAGTCGACTTGTGGCACCTGGGTCTGCCCCGTGACCTTCTGCCAGCGGGCGTTTGACACTTCACGTGGCCTCAAGGTGCACATAGCCTAGCACAAGCGTCGTGGTGACGTCACCGTCACTTAGTGGCGAATGGCGGTTGTTGTATGTTAGTGTATTAGAAGTCTGTTGATCTTTGCGTGTGTGAATGAGACGTCTGTTGATCTTTGTGGGTGTGTGTGTTTGTGAGAAGGCTGTTGATCTTTTGCGTGTGTGTGAGAAGTCTGTTGATCTCTGCGTGTGTGTGTATGATAGTGTATGAGAAGTCTGTTAAAGGTTATACGGGGGATCTTTGCCTTTTTGAAGAACACGAATCGCACCGGGAAGCCCTGCGCTCTGTCGAGGCCTCTTACTTCACCACGCCCAACGGCGGAGGCACGGATCCCAGCGTGGAGGTGACGGGCCGGGTCCCCTGTGGGTCCCCGTGGGTCCCGTTGGACCAGCAGCAGCAGGGGGTTGTGGGGGGTGTGGGTTCCCAGAGCGTCGGGGATGAGGGGGACGACGCCGGAGTGGAGGCTGCCATAAACGGTGAGACGGGGGTGGGGGAAGGGATGACATTAATTTATACCACCAGGTAAAGCTCCACCGAGCTCCACCGCTCTTTTTCAGAAGTGACCTGGCGATCACAACTGATAGATCAACAAAGTAACTGATATCATCATCACGTGGAGATTTATACCAACAGCCACATACTATAAACACACATTTATACACTCGTAGAGACTGGTATAGAACCATAGCGACCCATACTCATGTAGAACCATAGTGACCCGTACTCATATAGCCGTCTACTGAAATAGAACCAAAGAGACCCACATAAACTAAAAGATACCCTGAGAGACTCATACTCATTGAGACCCATACTCAAACTAAAACTATTTTTATTGAACCAAATAAGGCCCAATGAGCGATATAGCTCCTTTTCGGAATCGAGTTGGCCACAAACGTTAACTCAACGAAGTGGCTTACCATCACGCGGAGTTTTAGAGCAGACAAATACTCTAAACGCACGGTTTCTAAATGTGGAGGTAAAAAGCAGAGGAGCTCAGGAAAAATCAACGAGACCCTGGGGAGAGAAAACACACAGACTCCAAATATATAGCAGGTGTCAGGATTGGGATCGAATCCACGACCTCCTTTAGACCAGGTGAGGTACAAAATACAGTTTCTTTTGGTTAGATCCTACATATATAAATGTGTCGTTAAACCCGCCACCATCCGACAAAGCCAACTAGTAAGGTTTGTCACGTAAACAGAACGTGCCAATTCGTCACGAGTACAGCACACCGGTGTGTTGGAGAGCCAAGCCACAAAATTTACAATCAGAGTACGACGTTTCGCCAGTAATTACAACTAGCTTCATCAGGCGACAGCCAGATTTGTGGAGAAAATCTGTTTCGTTCCTTAAATAGAGGAGTAGATGCGATGGCAACACTTGAGCACTTCTTGGGCGAAGTGGGGTGGGGGATTATTGAATGCATATCCATGACTATGAGTATCCATTGGTAGTTGGGTTATTTATATGGTAATCAACGTACATTATGAATGTACATTATGCAAAACGCATTGTACTTGTCTATCCTGTCGGTTGTGTGTACTAAAATAGTCCTACCAATGGTAATCCCTATTGAAGTATGATGATTTGTTTCGGCATGCATTTAAACCATTTTTGGATGTTCTAATCGAAAAGAGACCAGATGGCTCAATGGGACACTGTCTACAGGAAAGCCACCCATATGGATGCCTACCTAAAACCTGACTCCCACCACCATCCATCCCAGAAGAATTCCCTCATCAAAACTCTACATCATAGAGCTCGATGTATCTCTGACCATCACCACCTAGCCAGTGAACTGGAACACGTACAGAAAGAACCATCTGAGGACCCAATCAAAACCATCACCTTGTCATACATAGCAGGGGTCACCAAAAAAAATTCCAAAACCATGAGCAAACAAGATCCGGGTTCGATTTAACACAGTACATACAATTCGTGATCTGATCCCATTGTGAAGGATGTGATCCCTGACATGCATTACCCTGGTGTCTACAAACTGAGTTGTCGTTGCGGCAGCAGTTACATTGGGGAAACAAAACGACATGTCTCGTTATTAACCAGGAAAAGTCTTAACTGACTGTGATGTTTTCATCCTACCTGCCTATGTCAGCTGTTATTTCCGACTCTCTGTGTCTCTCTCTCTCTCTGCCTCTCTCTTAGATCTCTCATGCTCACATGTCCTTTGCATTGCACTCTCATGCCTTTGGATTGCACTGTCATGCTCACATGTCCTTTGGATTGCACCCGTTGTGTTGCACTCATGCCTTAGGATTGCACCACTCTTCGATCTTACATTAACATCATGCTAATATCTCACATTAACATAGCCACTTCCGTGCCCTCATCGAGGAGGCTGCTCTCCTATCGTATAGTTACATGCTAATTTCTCACATTAACATCACTAGCCCTGCCCATCTCCTATCCACCGTGACGACAGCTGTACGCGGTTGAGCACTGCAAGCGTACGTTCGCGATCCGACTCCGCTTTGCGAACGCTGCCCGTGGCTGCGCTCCCCCTCCAACCCCACCCTCACCCCCAACCCCGCGCGGTCACCCTGCAGGCGGCATACAGCGCCACCTCGCCAAGCGCAGCAGCAGCAACAACAACGGCGGCGGCGGCAACACCCCGAAGCGTCAGCGCCAACAGCACCAACAGCACCAACAACACCAACAACAGCAGCAACAGCAGCAGCAGGAGGCGTCGGCGGCAGGCGAGCGTCCCTACGCGTGCGAGCAGTGCGGCCGCAGCTACGCGGAACTCTCCCACCTGCGCGTGCACAGGCGCACGCACACAGGCGAGCGGCCCTACGTTTGCACCGAGTGCGGCCGCGGCTTCTCGCAGTCCTCCCATCTCAAGGTGCACCTGCGGTCGCACACAGGCGAGCGGCCGCACGTCTGCGGCGAGTGTGGCAAGGGCTTCACGCAGCTCTACAACCTCAAGAGGCACCAGAGCACGCACGCGTGACGCTCCGCCGCGCCTCCCCCAGCGCGCTAGACGATGATGTAACATCGGAAGGAAAAGGCGTTCCAGACGGCGGCAGAAAGCAGGGCATCTGAAAGCGCCGCGCGGTGATCATCTTTGTTTGATGGTTTTCCAAAAACAGTTCTCAAGAAGTGCACCCGGGAACCCGGTTGATAGCGCCGCACTGTGTTGCGAATCCGGCGACCTGGATTTGATTCCCGCTCCAGGCCACCAACACGATTGAGGAGTATCTGAAGCAGTCCTGGGCCTCCCCTCCGTCAACTCGGCCTCAAATGGGTAGCTGGTGTGGTGTGTAGACATTGCCACTAGGACGTGGTGCTGGCCACCCCACCCCGCTAGTGTGCCGTGCCAGCCTTCGTAAGTGCTACTTGCTAACAGCACTTGCTCCTGCAGTCTGTTAGAGGCTGTACGGGGGACCTTTGTTGGAGTGTGCCGTGGTGAAGGAGGCTCGTGATGGACCGCCGCTGCCACTACTACTTGGGTAGCTGTTGGGAGGAGGCAATTCGCCCCTCCAGCAGCAGCAACAACAACAACAACAGCAAAGGAGAGGGCGGCAGAGAGGGAAGTGACGCTCACGATAACAAGCGGAGGAGCCGGGCGGCAACAAAAAACTGCAGCAAGTTGGCGCAGTAAGGAGGGGGTGGAAGCACACAGCTGGTGCTGGTGCATCTGCCCATTCATCTCAGTCGGTCAGACCCATGGCACCGGCGAGGTCTGAACAAAAAAATCCATAGCTCTCACATGAGGAAATGTACATATTGTTTAACTGTGAATAGCCCATCCAATAATAGGTACTGCATATTTCTCTTCATACTCTCTTAGATCAACATGTGTATATATAATTACCGACAAAACGTCACGGTGCACGAATTGGAAATGTGTGTTGTGGGTTTTCTCGCCAACGCACAACCGGTTAGTGCTGAACTTTTACACTAATTGGCGTTTTTTGTTTACGTGACAAACGCTTCCTAATTGGCTGTGTCCGGTGGTGGTGGTGGCAGGTCTAACGGAACATTTATATCCACGCGATCTTACCCCAAAAAAAACTTATTATGGATAAGAGGGGAGGGCGGGTTACACAGCTGGTGCATCTGCCCCCCACAAGAAGCCGTTCTCAAGAACTGAGTTTCCAACCCGGATTTCACACACTGCACCAGGGAACCCGGTAGATAGCGCCGCACTTCGTTTCGAACCCGGCGATGGAACATTTGAACCAGTCCTGGGCCTTGGCCCCTAGGTACCTGGTGCGGTGTGCAAAAATCATCGCCACTGGGTGAGACAAAGGCGGTCGGGCATGGTGTTGGCCACCCGACCCCCTTCGTGTGCCGTGCCGGCCTTCGTAGGTTGCTACTCGCTAACAACACTTGCCCTCCAACAGTCTGGGGGGATCTTTTTATTTACTGTGTGAAAGTGTATATATTAAGTAGATAATCAATTATCCGGAGGCTTCGAAGGGGAGAAGGGGGTGCTGGATTTTAAAAGGCCGAATGATCACTAATCATTGTTTAGAATAGCTTATTTTTGCACATGCTTGGATAACGTTATGTTTGTAGGTGTTGTGTATATGTTTAATAAGAATACAAATAGCCAAAAATAAATATCCTACTGTAAAAAGTTTCTGTATTTACTGCACCCAACTTACCACTCCAATCACGAAGACTGTAGTAAGTAGTACTACTCCGCTCTTGTTTCAGCAGCCATGTGTGTTTGACGATCGCCGGACTGATGCGAACACCGAATTGCACAGTGCACTTTTCGACGGATCGCAGTGTATATTTTAATGTCTGGACTCCAGGATGGGTTCTGCAGGATTGGAAGGATGCCCTGGTAGACCCCCCTCTTTAAGAGGGGGGACCGCACAGACTAACTACTACAGGGGCATATCCCTCCTCAGTGTGCTGGGAAAGGTCCTGACAAGGATTATTCAACATCGCCTTGCCAGGCACGCTGAGGAGAGGCTTGCAGAGCCCCAATGTGGTTTCAGGCCAGGGCGGTCCTGCACGGATGCTATATTCTGTCTGCTACAGCAGTGGTATAGAAATTTCCAACAAGACCTACATTTCTGCTTTATTGACCTGTTCAAGGCGAATGATACTATCAGTAGGCCTGGGCTATGGGCTGTTCTTCATCCTTTCAGAGTTACTGACTCTCTGCTCATTATCATTAAGGACCTTCATGATGGTGGGCAGGTCCTGGGTAAAGCTACGTGGCCAGCAATTAGAGCTATTCCCTGTTTACCTTGGGGTGCGACAGGAATGTCCTCAGGCTCCCACATTATTTAACATTATCTTTAACTGTACTGGAGGAATTTCCATCTGGTACAGATACAATGGGAGGCTGATCGATGCCCAGGTGCGGTCGAGGGATGGCTCCCTGTTGGTCAAATATGTTATGTATGCTGATGATCTGGTGATTGCTGCTCACTGAGAGTTGGAGTTGGAGATGCTGCTGCTGAACCTGGAGTATGCCACTAAGAGGTGGGGTGTTACCATCAGCCCAGCAAAACCAAGCACCTGCCTGGGTGTATTGTGCCATCAAACACTCTACCCCCTCAGCTACCCATTGATGATGGAGCAGTTGTGTAGAGAGTGTAGAGTTTCCCATACCTGGGCAGTGTGCTCATGAACAGCTCAGGTTTGACAGCAGAGGTCTCGCTCTGAAACAGCCGAACGGCTACCTGGTCTGTCACTCCACACGAAGCTTCGGGTCTTCTCGGCCACAGTGATTATGCCTTCCCTTCTCTATGCTTGCGAAATTTGGAGACCCCTTTTAATGGAACATCTGTGCCGGTGAGAAACATTCAGGCTGGCCTGCCTACGAACCATCCTGGGTTTAACCAGGCTGGATTGTTTGAGCTGACAAATCCTTGAAAGATCTGGACGCATTCCCATCAATGAGCTCCAGCAGGCAAGGCTGCGTTGGCTGGTTCATGTAGCCCGTAATTCGCAGCCACCGCAAGTAGCTTCTGTTTGGCCCGATAGAGGGGGCTAAACGGACACAACATGGGCTGGAGAAGAAATGGACTGATACGGTATGGGAGGATGAGGAGCTGAGTGGACTTGCCGAAGACTGATACCAACGGTGTCAAGTGCGGCCTTTATGGAGGTTCATGAAGAGCGCAAATGGGCAGTTGGAGGCAGTCGCCCTCTAACAATACAGGGTTGGTGAGCGACGAGTGGAGGAGCGCCTGGCGGACAAAATACAGCAAGTTGGCACAGTAAGGGGTACAGCTGGTGCATCTGCCAGTCATCTCAGTCTTGTTAACCCATGGCACCACCTGGGTCTGTTTGTGACCTGGCCACGAGTCTTTGACATTTAACGTGGCCTCTAAGTGCACCTGGCCTGCCACGGGCACCGTAGTGGCATCAACGTCGCTTCGTGGCGAATGACAGATATTGTTGGTGGTATGTCACTTTGTCTATTTATTTGTGCGTGCGTACACCAAAAGCCATGGTTTCACGAAAGCGGTTGTGATTTGAAATATCCGTTCGTCGAATGTGGGAAATACACGTTGTAAAGGCTTAATTTGTTCCTAGACGATCGCAAGTTGACCTCCTTCACCGTAAAAAAGTTGATGTTAAAAAATGCAATTTGAATGAATGGGCGTAAGATAATTTGAAAGCATTCATATTAATGGTAACGTGGATAAATTATGAATAAATTGCGCATAAAATAACAATTCTTACCTTAGGCTAAGAAGGTGGATAGCTTAAGGCAGTGGTTCTTAACCTTTACTGCAATCTGCACCTCTTTGGTTCTCAAAATATGGTCATGCACCCGTTATCAAAAATCTTTGAAGTAGGCCGTTGTGTGTGGTCGTTCGTTGCGACTTTGCTGCCCGCTGCCTCACGGTGCATGTGTGCCTCAGGGACGTGCGGTCAGGGGGGGCAGAGCCTCGCCTGTCATACTCCAATGAAAATAGCTGTTTGAAAAGTAAAATAACGAATAATCAAATAAAATAAATTTTAAGATTTTTCCACTGATCTGTATTTTAAACGTCACTTTTTTTACGATTCCAATTATTCTTAAAGTCAAAATCGCCAAGGTGAGGCAGCGGCGAGCTCAGCCTCCCCTCTGATTGCGCAACCCCTCAGTAACTGGATGGAGCGCGGGCAATAAGCATGTGCCTGTTACTATCTCTCTGTGTCACCAATGTAATGTTTGTAGACTCCTTCATTTCATGTCCTCGCCTTCCATACTCCAGGTAACTTATTTCACGTATGTGTATAAATATATTTAGGCTCGCTGGTCTCGTCATGAAACTGCAATGAAAAAGCACCAGGGGAGGCAGCTATCACATGTCTCACTGAGGGGGACGTGTCTAACACGCCCCCCTCAGTGAGGCCACGCCCCCTCCGTGAGAACACGCCCCCTCAGTGAAGCCACGCCCCCTCAGTGAGGCCACGCCCCCCTCAGTGTGTGAGTCTGGCTCTGACACTAGCCAGTGCCTCCCCCAGCCATTGACCTCACCGCACGTCACTGGTGTGCCTGTGGCTGGGATTTCGTCTCCGTACGCCGATGGTGGTGACCCCAGCTTGCCGAACCAATTTGCTGCTCTACCAATGGCTCGCTGGTTTGGGGCTGCTTATGCCAGTAATCGTCACCTACTTATGAGCTGCGGCAATGAGTTACTCCCGTTATTTTTTGTTGGGACTGAACCAAGGCAGTTGCCATGGAGTCAACATTGGGGGGGGGACCAAATCCTCCAGGGGGTCTGGGGGTCCCCCCGCCAGAAAAATCTAAATTTGAAAACTCATTTCCTGCCATTTCATACCTAAAATATCAAAAGATTCACTAACACATAGGATGGACTTTTTTTTTACAATCATGTTTAATAGTGTATTGTATTACATTGCTCTGTTTTTTTGTGTTTTACCTTTTCTTGTTTCATTGTATGTAATGGCAGAGATTAGGGATTCTTAAAGAACAGAAATATATGCATTGATTTATATGAAGACAAGTCCAGATAGTGGCCAAGGTTAAGAAAATTGTTGTTTTTATTTACATAGTATAGCAATTTTTTTATTTGGGTTGGAACCCCCAGACACCCTGGAAGATTTGGTCCCCCCCAATGTTGATTCCATGGCTACGGCCTTGATGTAGATGAATATTATAATAGGTTTAAAGCGACAGTTTCCTACTTAAATTTCCGAGGACGCCCAGGATCTTCGGCATAGAAGGGGTCGGGAAGTTATAATTGTTACTGTGTCTGTCTTTATGTCTGATTAACTTACTGTCTGTCTGACTCTGTCTCTGTCTGACTCTTCCTGTTTGTGTGTCTTTAGGCTATGTTTGTCTCCGATCTGGGATCTAAAATCATTTTCATACATAACAAGTTATCAACATTTACGGGCCAGTACGTGTCACACTCACACACACACTCACTGTTGTCGTGTACGCGACTAATATTGGTACACGGAATTACAAACCGCCCGCCCGCCCAAGTACGCACCCACCCACCAGCCGACCTACACACTCACACACATCCACCCGCTCACTCGCCCGCCCACCCACACAATTGTTCGGCCGACTGATGAATTTTAATACAAATGTCAAGGATTGTCACGATTGTATAGCCTGTGTTGTAATACTCATCTTAAGTATAAATCCAGTGTTAAAACGTGTTGTTCACCATAGAACATGACGTAACTACAGGTGACATGACACTGGATTACACAGTAGATGAATATTATAACATGTTTAAAGCTATCCTACTTAAATTCATGTGGACGCCCATGATATTCGGTGTATTATAAACACGATATACTGAAATTCCTTTAATACCGTCATATATTTAGCACCTTTGTTGACATGTCGATGACACCGCGATTTACAGAATTTTTGCCGTGAATCAAAGATCGTGCGTTAATAAATTCTGAGAACCATTAAGAAATGAATTACGATTCCCTCCGTATGTGCAGGGGGAGTCGAAATGATGACATCTTCGTTATTTTAATTTGTATTTTTTCACCCTCCAATATGGCAACCGCATTTAACTTGGCGCCCCAGGCGACCGCCATTAGTTCGCCTGTATGGATGGGTGGACGCCCCTGACTGGTAGCGAGACAAGACCATAAATAAGGCTCTGGTGTCGGCCAATCGGCCTCACAAAGACAATGCATAACATTATTATCAGAGCATGTTAATTTGCATGTTTTGTCCGAAGTTACGTGTGGTCAATGCAGACTTGATGCCTTGCAAAAGGTATCATCTCTTTGGTGTTTGAACATCTTAACAACTCCTGTTTTATTGGCAGAGAGGGTAAAACCTATCCTTAATTTTCATCATTTTTGATACTGGCAAAAAAGGTCACCATACATATCAACGAAGTGGGTTATCATGTGGAAATTAATAGCAGCCAAATATTCCGAACGCGCGATGTCGATTAAAAAATACGGAGATAAAAATCGGAGGACCCGGAGAAAAATCCACGCGACCACGGGGAGAGTTGAGACGCGCAGACTCCAAATATATAGCAGGACGTCAAGAGTTGGCATCGAACCCAAGACCTGCAAACCATCCCCTCTAAAATTAACCAACTGCCTGCTTCTCCTCCCCATCTCCCAATGCGCGCATCACCTCTACGTTTGGTGAAACGCAGACGCGCTCCAAACCGTAATGGAGGTTAGTTTGGGTGAGATCACGTGAATGCAAATGTGTCGCTCAACCAACCACCATCACTCGACACAGCTAATCAGCAAGGGTTTGTCACGTCAACAAAACGTGACAATTAGTTGACTAGTCCAGCATTTAAACCGGTTGCATGTTGGAGAGGAAACCCACAACATCTACAATGGTAAACTAGTCACGAATTGGCACGTTTATTTGTCGTGAAAGCCCACGCTCCAAATGTCCGTATTCAGCCGGCTGGCGTTGGCGGCCGGAGCGAGCGTTTCGTGACCAGTAGGGCTGAACAACGCAGCAACGGCCCACTGCGGGTACGACTGCCGAAAGTGAAGGGAGCGGATCGCCCATCCAAACGTCGATTTGGCGGCCGCCAACTCGCTATCTCTCTAGGGCCAATGAAAAAAAACAAAATCACTCCCACTTTGTCCATCCCCCCTCCGCCTGCACTCTTCCCTCCCCCGTTCTGCCCCCCCCCCCCCGCTCATCTCTACTTCCCCCACTCGCTCCCCCCTACTCCTCCCTGCTCCCCCAGCTCCTCCCAGCTCCCCCGGCTCCTCCCTCCCCACCCCCTGCCCCCACGCTAGCTGAGATCGCCGCAGTGCGTGCACTCCTGGTTGCGCCGGAGGAGCCCGGGCAGCTCAAACGTCCTCCCACACCGGCGGCATGAGCGGTTGCACTGGCAGGCTCGCTCCTCCGCTCCTCCGGCGTCTCTGGCGTCGTCGTTGTCATCGTCCTCGTCACGGTGACGACGGGGCTCGAGAGGGTGCGGCCGCTCTCCCGCGCCCTGCCCCCGCTGGTGGTGCTGCCCGAGCCCCGGCACGGAGACCCCACCGCACAGCAGGCAGTGCCACTCCCCCGCGGAGCCGCCGACGGCCGCGGCCGCGACACCGCACCGGGCGCAGCGGCGATGGTGCCGTCGCGTCGCGGCTGAGGGACGACGCCGGATCGGCGCGTGGCTCCGAGAGTCGAACCGAGGCCTCCCCGGGTCACCGGCCGGTGCCGGCTGCTGCCCACACGCGGGGCACGGGAAGGCGGCGATCGCAGACCCTGCCGCAAACAGCCGAGTTCCCCCGGGGGTAGGGGGAAGAGGAGTTGGAGGGTTTAACCGTGTCAGCACGAGCGGTTCCAGCATGTGTATCTGTCCGAGCTAAACTATGAAATATTTTTTTATGTTTTATTTTACCAGATCTAAAGAAGCGACCTGGCCATCACAAAATGATAGCTCAAGGAAGTGGGCTTATCATCGTCGTCACATGGAGATGTATAACACTCTCAACGTGGGTTTCTACACTCAAGAGACTCAGCATAGAGAACCACAGACACCCATAGAGAATGAACATCACGCGTTTAGAGTATTTCGCTGCTGCTATAAACGATCATGATCATAAGCCCACTTCGTTGAGCTATCATCTTTGCGATGGCCAGGGTCGCTTCTGACAAAAGAGCGAACACAGCTCAGTGTGGCCTTACATCTTATGACCTTTGAGCTACACCCATTTCAAACCTGATGACGATTGCTTGTGTTGCGATCGAAACGTCGTGATCTATTATTTCTCTACCTACGTGACTTTACCGAAAGAACCAAAGAGTATGGATTCCTGCAGTCCCATAAAGCTTAAAATCAAGATTAAAATAAAACAAAATTGTGTTTTTTAAGTCTCAATTCAGATCGAGTGCGATCGGGCGGCGGTCGCCACGAAAACGACGTCGCAGTTCATCCATCGCTCGGCCGCGCCGGGGTCAGATCCTCACCGTCGCTGCTCGGATCCTGCAGCTCCACCTTGGCCTCGACGCCTGGGGCCGTCGCAGCCACCGCCACGTCTCTCCGCGTGGCCACAGTCACCGCCCCCGGCCTAGCGCTGAGTCCAGCAGACTGGAGGTCCCTTCCATAGGCCTGGAGGTCTTCTCTGTCACCCAGGAGGTTGTCTCCTTCCGCGTGGACGACGTCCACCCAGGGGGTGCGCAGCTCTCGACCATCCGCCTCTTCTCCGTCGCGCGGAAGGCCCCCTTCTTCCGCCCGAAAATCCTCGGCCACGTCTGAGGGTGAGACGCGCCGGGAAGGGGTGGTGGAGGGGGGGGGTGGCGTTAAAGTGCCGGCGCGCGGCACCCTGGCAGCTGCGTGCTCCGTCGTCGTCACCTTCCGCGATCACAGTCATCGATTACAGCTGATCATCGATAATTATCCGGCACAGATATAACGGCGGCCACCGTTCACCGCTAAGTGGCGGCGACGTCGCCACGGTGCTTGTGCCATACTCTTTGGTTCTTTCGGTAAAGTCACGTGGGTAGAAAATAAAATAAATCACGATGTTTCGATTGCAACACAAGCAATCATCAGGTGCAATCGAAACGTCGTGATTTATTTTATTTTCTACCTACGTGACTTTACTGAAACAACCAAAGAGTATGGATTCCTGCAGCCATGAAAGCTTCAAATCTAGGGGTTTGTGCCAGTCGCGGTGCACTTTTTAGGCTATCGCGTGAATTGTTGGAAGGCTCCCCACTGCCGGCAGGAGGTCACGGGACAGACCCAGGTGGTGTCATGGGTTGACTGACTGAAACGTCTAGCAGACGCTCCACCTGTGCTCCCCACCGTGCCAACTTGCTGCGTTTTATACACACATATATTACACACAGTCATATACATATACGCAGACATGATGTAGGGATGTTGGAGAGAGGGCCGTTATGCATGGCAGCCTATGGGAAAGAAACACAGTGGGCGGGGCTACGTGTGTGCACAGGGAGATGCCCTCTGCGACGTCCGAGCCAGACACCCTGGGGGGGGGCTGGTTCGGCGTTACGATCCCCCGGGGCCCCACCCCTCAAGGAGGGTTGGGTATAAAAAGGGGTCGTTATATGGGCTTAGAGTTATGTTATAGTTAAGCTAAGAAGTCGGAAGACGTCGTAGCTAGAGCCCTGGACTCCCCCTGATCGCCGCCCTTATCAGGGCCCCACGGGATCAGGCTCGAGCCAGTGGCGTGGTCCCGTGAACCAGAGCCAGTGCTCTGGGACTCCGGGTACCGAGCCCGATTACCAGTGTCGGGCCAGACAGCCTCCCCTAGCTCTTAGTGGAGGACTCAGGGGATAGGCTATGGATAGCTAGGGGTATTCCCTGAGTTATACGGGTGAGGGGGCCGCTACCCCCTCTAGTGCTGTCCTGTACTGGCAACTTGTTAAATAAATATACGTGTGCCTCAACTCCGTTGTCAAGCGTCCTCGACGGGTACTTCATCTGGCGTCAGAAGTGGTAAAAATGGAAACGCGCCATACAGCTCGGACCAGGGTACCACGAGAGGAGGACGCCGCGGAAATCGCCGAGCCCGAGACAGAGCAACAAGATGGGGTGCAGCCGGAGCCTGGCGCCTTCTCACCGGGACGTCAGCATGGAGAGGGGCCGCAGCCAGATGCACTACGACTGGCTCACGAACGGCTGGCGGAGCTACTTTATGCCGCTGCCGCCACACTGGAAGGCATTACGCGGTTGGGGGCTGGTGGTCCACCGCAGGGCGAGGAGAACCGGCGGCCGGAGCACTTTCCCGCCATTTCAGCGACTTCACAATTTGAATTTCCCGCCATGGACGCCGCGGCTGTTCGGGGCGTGGCCAGCTTAGACATCGGCTCCGACATCGCCGTCGCCGGGGCTGCAGCGTCATCGCAGCCGAAGGATGCGTCATCGCTGCCGCGACAGGCGATGCCATCGGCCAGTCGCGCCGAGGCACCGCCAAAGGGAGGTGAAAGCAACCTGCGGGAGTCCACATCGACCGCTGCGCTTCACCAAAGACTGCCCCCGCTGAAAGAATTCATCGGTGCGGAGGGTGACTGGGGCGGCTTCCGGCGACGCTTCCTCGCCCATCAGGAGATGGCGCGGTGGTCCGACGAGGAGGCCCTTTGCGCGCTGCCGGCGCTCCTCGATGGGGACGCGCTCGCCGCACTCACGTCGGCGCCAAAAGAGAAGCGGGCTACACTACCAATGGCGCTACAGCTGCTGGCCGGGGTCTATGGACCTTCAGCCGAATGCCGTCAGCAGTTCTACGATCGCAGGCGGGGTGAAAAAGAGTCGCCTCTGGCTTTCCGGACAAGTCTTCTGGCGCTGGCAAAAACAGCCTTTCCCCGCATGGACGACGACGGCGTGGACGCAATGGTCGCGGAGAAGATCCTCCTCTTGGCGGACGACCTCGACATCGTCGTCATC